AGCAGGAGCCAGGTGCTTCTCCTGGTCTCCCATGGGGTGCAGGGCCCAAGCACTTGGGCCATCCTCTACTGCCTTCTCGGGCCACAGCAGAGAGCTGGCCTGGAAGAGGGGCAACCGGGACAGAATCCGGCACCCATATGGGATGCCGGCGCCGCAGGCAGAGGGCCATCCAAGTGAGCCACAGCGCTGGCCCCTAAAAATTTTTGAAAAGAAATGTCAATTAAAAAAAAAATTCCCGGGCCGGCGCCGCGGCTCACTAGGCTAATCCTCCACCTTGTGGCGCCAGCACACCGGGTTCTAGTCCCAGTCGGGGCGCCGGATTCTGTCCCGGTTGCCCCTCTTCCAGGCCAGCCCTCTGCTGTGGCCAGGGAGTACAGTGGAGGATGGCCCAGGTGCTTGGGCCCTGCACCCCATGGGAGACCAGGAGAAGCACCTGGCCCCTGCCTTCGGATCGGCGCGGTGCGCCGGCCATAGCACGCCGGCCGTGGCGGCCATTGGAGGGTGAACCAACAGCAAAGGAAGACCTTTCTCTCTGTCTCTCTCTCGTCTCTCTCACTGTCCACTCTGCCTGAAAAAAAAAAAAATTCCCAAGGACAATAATCCCTCTAAGCTGTACTGGATGCATCTAAAGAGAAAAAAAGGAAAGAAGCAATCTATTTCTAATCTATATTTGGTTATGGGTAGGAATTCCTCATGTTGAACTCTTAGGATTTTCTGCTTTTGAAGAGTTTGGCCAGATGTTTTCTGTGAGACATGAGCATGAGGATTGCAGATCAGTGCTTAACTCTGTGTTTAAAAAAGAATAGTGGGTCTGTACCTAGAAAAAATGTCTACAAGGATAGACACTAAGATATTTGAAAGAGTTTATCTCTGGGTTACATTACTGGTAATTTTCAGTTATTTGCCTCTTTATTTTCCAAGCAAATATAAATTGTTATGTTAACCCCCACAAGGGATCTTCAAAAAGTTCCTGGAAAATGTACGTTATGAAAACATAACAGTGCAGGGATTTCAAAATTTTTTGCATCTGAATAAACTTATCTTTTAATTCCATTCTCCACAAACTTTTTGAGGCCTCCTCATTTATAATAGAATATACTGAATATAAGACAGAACCTTGTACTTGGTGTTAAAGACTTAACTTTGTTTCTGACACTACCTTCTGGGTGTTAAAGGACTTTCCATCCCTGGTGGTCTAGTTTTCCAGGGGGAAGAGTGGTTCTCCAAATACCAGCTTATATCTGTATTACCTCTTCCTCTCTGTCTTCTTCCAGCCTCTGGTGTGTTTCCCTGCAGGCTACTGTATCCTAAAGTAGGGGACTGGGCTGAGTTAAGACATCACAATCAGTAGCTTCATGGATTTGACTGATAAAGTGACTGGACCAAAAGCCTGTCTCTGGGTTCACGGGGCATTGTTAAAAACAAACACCACTTCCCTAGCTGGCGATACTGGGGATAAGTGAGTTGGGTATAGTGCCTGTTCCTTTACCAGGAGACCCCTGCAGATGCGTTTATGCAAGACAACCCTCTCCAGAAAATGATTGCCAAGGATGGGGAAATGATTCTCTTTCGAGAGCTGCTTTTGGCAGACATAAGAGCATTCTTAGGGGCATCCGATGGTAGCCCCTTAGGACTCTTGGAGAAACAGACTGTTACAAGGCACACGGGCAGATAAGGCTGCATGATGGTCAAGCGTGTTGAGCAGAGGCAGGCCTTTGCCTTTGTCTTCTTCACAGACCACAGGTGAATTTAAGGTTGTTTCCGCCTCCCCTATATCCATCTATATAAACAAATACAAATTCATCAGGGAGATGGGGGACAGTACAGTGCATTGGAGGGTAATTCTGGCTGTGCCCTCTTTGATTTTAATGTGATATTTAACGATATTAGTCTAAGTAATAACAGGGTTGTTCAACTTGTTCTGTTGGTGTCTTCATAGCTCTCTGTATCAGGAGATGCTGTAAGAAGACCTAGATTGTCTTCTTCTCGAGGATCCACATCCTTAACTCGATGGAGAGCTTGAGCATCCCATGGGAGAACGAACATATGCACAGCTTTGTAAACTGAGGTCTAGAGAGATGGGTCTTTGAGAAGCTGTTGTCACTATGTAAGAGGCAAATTTTCATTTTTAATTTTTTAAAGATTTATTTATTTGAAAGGCAGAGTTACAAAGAGGCAGAGAGAGAGAGGGAACGAGAGAGACAGAGACAGAGGAAGGCTTCCATCCACTGGTTCACTCCCCAAATGGCCACAATGGCCACAACTGGGCCGATCAGAAGGACTTGGGCCATCTTCTACTGCTTTCCCAGGCCATAGCAGAGAGCTGGATCAGAAGTGGAGCAGCTGGGACTCAAACCGGAGCTCATAAAGGATGTTGGCACTGCAGTTGGAAGCTTTACCCACTATGCCACAGTACCAGCCACTAAAGTTTCTTTTTTTTATGGAAGAAAGTTACCCCTAGATGTTTTCTCAAACTAAAAGCATCAAAAATAAAAGTATATACCTGATATTTAAATATAGATGCAAATACTGGAACAAAATGGCTAAAAGAGTTTGTTAAAATGAAACCGGGTGGACAATGTTTAGCTTAGCAGTTAAGAATCCTCTTTCTGACTGACATACCTGGGTTCATACCTCACTCTGACTCCTGACTCAGCATTCTTGCCAATGCATGTCATGGGAGACAGCATTGATGGCTCAAATAATTAGGTTCTTGCCACCAACAGGGAAGACCTTCACTGCATTCTTGACGCCCAGTTTAGGCCCTAGTTGAGCCCTGGCCACTGCAGGCATTTAGGGAGTGAATGGGAACTCTTTTTTTTTGTCTTAAGAACAAAAGAATTGAAAACAAAACGTTAGAACTCTACTTAAAAGGTTGATCAGTGTTGACATCACTAGTATTGGGATAAAACATCAGCTGCTTTCTGCACGGAGGACACATCATGATACTCCTGCCCCAGACAAGACAAGTAAAACAAGCCAGACTGAATCTAACGGGACAGCAGAGAGCCTCAAAATGACAGTGATATTGGGAAGTTGAACAATGGGTGCTCATGATCAGGCCATCAAGGACAATGAGATTAAGTGTGACGTGACAATATTTGCAACAAATGTGCTATGTAGGTGAAGGATATAGGAGTTTTTTGTACTATTGCAGTTTTTCTGTAAATTCAGAATTATTTTTTGAAAAATTTGCTTCTGGATCCGTAGCTGTTACTTAATTTCCCTTCTCTCTTCAGTTCTCAGCCTGGAGTCCTTACTGAGTGAGAGTTAATGAAACCCATCTTTACTGGTAAGATGTGAGGGAGAGGGCAAGTAGTGCCGTTTCCAGTGGAAATGAAATGACTCAGCTGAGGAGGTAATGCAGAGCCTCTCTCTGATAGAGGGCTGTGATCTGAGTGCCCACTGCCCTCATCCTAGAGGGAGAGGAGAGCATTTTGTCACAAACCTCTTGTCATCACTATGTAATCATCATTTGGTCCTGGGTGGGGCTGGCATTGTGGTGGAGCAGGTTATGCTGCCACCTGCCATGTGGCATCACTTATGGGCGCTGGTTAGATCCCAGCTGCTCCACTTCTGATGCAGCTGCCTGCTAATGGCCTGGGAAAGGCAACAGAAGATGGCCCAAGTGCTTGGGTCCCTGCCACCCACTTGGGAGGCCTGGATGAAGCTCCTGGATCCTGGCTTCAAACTGGTCCAAGTGGGCTATGGTGGCCATCTGGTGAGTGAACCAACAGATAGAATCCCCTCCCCCTTCTCTCTGTAACTCTTTCAAAACAATTAATTAAGAAATATTGCACCTGGGAAACAAAAAGGAAAGGTAGCAAGAGGAACAGGCCTCTGTATTGTGCTCTGGCCCCTCCCTCCTTAACAGCCTGGACCATGCAAAGGTACATGGAGAGATCCCCAATTTAGATGGATCAAACAAACTAACTTGAGACCACTTTCTTATTTAAATGCTTTGCCTTGGACCACTGTGTGGTTAAATTTCTTTAATATCCAGAATAACGCTAGTACAATACAGAAAAGCAGCCAAGTCCTTATATCCTTGGCTGTAATCTAGTATTTACAGTAGACAGCTGGATATTCCAATCTGGAGGATTAGATACAGATTTCACAATTACAAAGAGCCAGCATCAGCATCGTCCTCAAAGGACATTCACCAAGGGAGCAAAGCAGAGGCCAGGAAAAGTGACAAAATGCTTTGTTTAACCAGATTATACAGAAAACAGATTCCTTGACAAGTCATCAAATTCACAGCCAAGGAGAAACAAATCACAATGTTAGCAACATTACAGTATCCAGTAGGTGAAGAATCAAAGCTGTACACAGTTTACCAAAGACAGAGCGTGGGAGACTAGGGGCACAGAAGATCTAACTAAGATTGAAGTCCGTTCGTGCCCCACCCGCAGGTCCCTGTAGTTTACAGTTTACAGGATCCGTTCACTCTGAGGATCCCACTGGAGAGCTTGTTTTGGAAAGTCTAGTGTCTCCTAAGAGTGTGGGGTACTTTTGTCTGTGTCAAGGTATGTGGGCCATCTGTGAATCACGCTGCCTTGCAAAGCCAGTGATAAAGGAGGCAGCATAATCCACGTCATTCATTTCACACAAGCTGAACCCAAGAGGCTGGGTTCTAAGCACCTGCACAGCGAGCCATGTGTGCCCTGCTCTGGTTCTGTGTCCTTTTGTTGGAATGAGCTTGTTCCTCTCTCTCCTGCGAATGGCAAATGCCCAATATGGGCCTCAACTGCTGTTCTCATGGAGGGATTTTCATTTTTGTCAGGAATCAAAGCCTTTAACAAAGAGAATCAACTGTTTATCCAGCGCTGGTGGAGCAGGTTTGCTCATGAAGCCACACCCTGCTGGTATCAGGTAGGCCTGGGAGCCAATTAATGAATCTCTTCTAAATGCTTGGCCGGTGTCAACCTGCCCTTCAGGAAACTGGGCAGCTATACAGTCTTCTACCACGTCTCACCTCAACGTTAAGTCCCTCCTGGGCTGGGGGAGAGGCCTGGAGGGACCAGCTTTGTCCTGCCCGGGAGTCTGCTACCCTGAAGCCTCCCTGGTGTCTCACCATGCTCTGCAGCACGCTGAGGTGAGGCTCCGCTACACCCAGGCCCCGACCCAATTCCCAGAATCACTAAATTAGCTCCTTTTCCATTCCCTTGGCAAACGGGGCTGAAACAGAGCTGGGCTACACTAAGGGAAATGAAGTCTGGAGCTCTTAAAACACAGCTGCCTGTGTAATCCACAAAGTACTGAGCCTCTGTCTGACAGGAGGGCTCCGGCATTAGAATCTCACCAGGGCGGTACTTTCTTTGTGGATCTTGGTCTGGGGCCCCATTCAAGAGTTTCAGTTTCTTACACACGGCTTTGTTTTTAGAATTATCAAGCAAGCATTTAGATTAAGTTTGTTTATACACACTTAGAGATTTCAATGAATTTTGGTCTTTAATTCTTTTGATGATCTAACGTATGTTAATTTTTTTTCTTGTGCATCACTATGACCTATACTTTTTTTTTTTTTTTTGGACAGGTAGAGTGGACAGTGAGAGAGAGAGACAGAGAGAAAGGTCTTCCTTTTTCCGTTGGTTCACCCCCCAAATGGCCGCTGCGGCCGGCGCACTGTGCTGATCCGAAGCCAGGAGCCAGGTGCTTCTCCTGGTCTCTCATGCAGGTGCAGGGCCCAAGGACTTGAGCCATCCTCCACTGCACTCCCTGGCCACAGCAGAGAGCTGGCCTGGAAGAGGGGCAACCAGGACAGAATCCAGCGCCCCGACCGGGACTAGAACCCGGTGTGCCGGCGCCGCAAGGCAGAGGATTAGCCTAGTGAGCCACGGCGCTGCTTATACTTCATTTTTAAACGTAAAGTTTTTGTTGTCAAGGGCCGCAGCCACATTCACTGGACTCTTCAGCTGTGCTTTGCTGGGCTTCTCCTCTTGACTGAATCTGCAGAGGAAAGGGTAGGTAAGTCACTTCTAGGCCCTGCTTTGAAAGACCTGTTTTTAAAAAGAAGCCTTTTTTCTTTGTTCCCCACTCCCATTCCCCACACCCCTATAGCACCTCTGTGTGAATTGGGGATCTGGATCAGGCCTACTGGGGACCTGCAAAAGGTATCAGGTAGTTGAAGTTCAACAGCATGGAGTGAAACTAGATTTGTTTTCCATGGGGTGGGCATTTAGCCTAGCGATTAAGGTGCCCCTGTCCTGTGTTGGAGTACACGGGTTCAATCCCCAGCTCTAGTTCCTGGCTCCCGCTTCCTGCCAATACAGATCCTGGGAGGCAGCAGAGATGGCTCAAGTCATTGCACTCTTGCCCTCATGGGAGACCTCGACCGAGTTACTGTCTCTCAGCTTTGCTCTGGCCCAGCTCCAGCTGTTGCATCATTTGGTGAGTAATCTAGTAAATGGGAAAGGACTCTGTGTCTGCTTCTAAAATAAATAAGAGTAAAAAAGGTTTGTTTTCCACAGTTTTACCTTGGGAGGAGAAAGCAAGTCCTCTGAAAACAGTGTCAGAAAACAGTGATTAAATAGCCTGTGGAAGATCTTTATCCAGTGAAGTCTTGATTTAAAAAAAAAAAAGCAGTCTAAGAATCAAGCATAAACAAATGAGTTCCATGGGTATGAGATGGATTCCATATGATTTGTTTAGATAAGAGAGAAGGTTCCAGTGGTTAAAACACATTGTGGCAATTTGATCGTCTATTAGCAGACTAGCAGCCCTTCTAACGGACGGTGGGTGACCATGTCCCAGTGGCCTTCTAGACCCAGGATTCTGAGAGGAAGGATGGTTCTGTAGGCGTTCGTTTGGTTTCAGTGGGCACCAGGAATCGGCACTGGGGATGAAAGAGAAGAGCAAGAGCGCCACTCCGATGTAGGGACAAGGTAGTGCACCACAGTACAGACCACGCAATAGCTGCATGATTAATACTCATCAGTTTATGAAGACATGGTTTCTTAGAAGCCGGCTGAGTGTCACTGTTGCCGACAGGGGACACTGACACACATTCTCCCGGTTCTCACTGGTACAAGACAACTGAACAGACACAGACGTATTGCACCCCGTCACAGGTTTCCCCAGGGGGAGGGTTCCATGGTTCCCGCTGTTCCCTACAAGGGTCAGATAAAAGCTCCCTAAATCATTGTTCATAGTGACTCAAGTGAAGAGCCATGAGTCTCTCTCTTTATGTGCTGGTGGCAAACTCCAGCGGCACCAGGCGGCCTTGGTCGTAGACAAGAATCATTCATTGTCGCAACAACTGCTGCAGCAGATCGTGAGATTTTAGAAAAGTCCTCGGGGACTCAGAACAACAGATGACATTTTTTTTTTTTTTAAATGGGACATGAGTAGACCAGAACCAGCCTGCCCATCCTCAGAGGAAGTTGACTGTAGTCGGAGCTGTTAACTACTCAGGGCAGCTTGCTGTTCCCCTGCCAGTACAACTTCTCCTCCACCTTTTTCTTTTTCCATCGGCAGAGCAGCAGCATCTTAAAGGTCTTCCTGAAGGTTCTGTTGCAGAGGGCGTAGCAGATGGGGTTGACAGTGCTATTGACGTAGCACAACCAATAGCCCAGGTGCCACAGGGAGACCGGGACACACTTGTCACAGAAGGTGGAAACCAGGACCATGATGTTATAAGGGGTCCACGTGATGATGAAGGCCAGGAGAATGGCACTCAGGGTCTGGGCTGCTTTCCTTTCTTTGACGAGGACCATTCTCTTCCGTTTGGTCATGTGATGGTTGAGGCTGGCATCAAGGCCCTTTGCTGCAGGGTCCTTGGATACTGGGAGGGAGCAGGGCATGATTTTGACCTTGTGACAGCCGTTGTTGGCCTCCTGGCTCCCATCAGCTTTCACCACCAATCGGAACTTATAGGCCACACATTTCTGACTCTTGGGTCTGTGAGGAGCAGCTGGAGACGGGAAATATTTTGGGGTGTCATAGTCATTTTGTCCAGCTTGAACTGTTGTGAAAGTTTCCTTGGTCTTTTCAGGACTGGATTCTTCCTGTGGGCTTTCCTTGGCCTGACTCTTGTAGACCGCTTGGAAGACTCGGTCAGTGGAGGACTTGTCCTCATCCTCTGAGGAGGGGTAGCTGCTACAGGTGGTGAGCTGCTCGGGTTTGGCCCAGTCGGCGCTGGGTCCGGTGCCTTGGGCCGGCTTCCCGGTGGTGGAGGTGCTCCTGCGGGAGGATGACCAGGAGGCCTGGCTCCGCTCCCTCTGGGCCAGAGTTGGTCGAGGGCAGCGAAAGCAGGATCGCAGCAGAGCCCTGTGAGCTGGCTTTTTCCTCTCGGCCTCGGCCACGGAGTCGGAGCCCTGGAGGTCAGCCAGGTCCTTTGTTCGCTTCTCCGTTTCCCGGTAAATTCGGCAGTAGAGGATCGTCATGACAGAAACAGGGATGTAGAAGGCAGCGATAGCAGTGCCGAAAGTGATGGTAGGCTCGGAGAGGAACTGGATCTGGCACTCGTCTGGGGGTACGGTCCGCTTCCCGACCAAGTACTGCCAGCAGAGGATTGCCGGGGCCCAGAGCAGGAAGGAGATGAGCCAGGCCAAGCCGATCATGATGCCGGCCCTCTTGGGGGTGCGCTTGGCCCGATATGTCAGGGGCCTCGTGATGGAAAAGTAGCGATCAAAGCTGATCACCAGCAAGTTCATGACGGAAGCATTGCTGGCCACATAGTCCAGTGCAAGCCACAGGTCGCAGGCCAGACTCCCCAGTGCCCAGCGCCCCATGAGGATGTAGGTAGTGTAGAGGTTCATGGAGAAGACCCCGATGATGAGATCTGCACAGGCTAAGCTGAGCAGGTAGTAGTTGTTGACCGTCTTGAGCTGACTGTTGACTTTGAAGGAGATCATGACCAAGACGTTGCCCACAATGGTGACCAGGCTCACCACAGCTGTCACAGCTGTGATGGTGATGACTTCCCACAGTCTGTGACGTTCCAAAGGCTGGTGATTTACTGGGGTGCCGTTGACGGTGGTTGCATTGTGATAAGATTCCCCTTCCATCCTGCTGCAAGAATTTACAATAGGGTTGAGTTCTAGGTTCTAGAAAGTTCTCCTACTTTTTGGTCAGCATCTGGAAGAGAGGGAAACACGTTAGCACCACTCGTGTCTTTTTCCACCCTTGGCTTACCATGTGTAACAGAACATTACTCACAGCTACACACATATTCAGAGCAAGGGCTGGAATCTCTAAGGTTTTGATGAGCACTTACAGAATGGTTACCCATGCCCTTCTTGTGCACGAGGCTGCTGCCCTCTTGTGGCAATTGAAAAAAATAAAGGATTGGGACGGTTGAGAGCAAAGGAAAAAGAAAAAACTGGGTTGCTGGAAGAGCAAAAAAGAGGGTAGAGCCGGGAAGTGAGATTACCTTAGATTGCAATCACCTTCAGGGAAGAAACTTTTTTTAAGCTCCCGTTAGTAAGGCCCTCGAGACTGCCATGCATTGGCAAAAAGAAAGAAAAGTGTTATTTACTCTTTAGTTCCAGTCTCAATTATTAAACATTACCACAGCTATGTTGTGGGTCAAGACCACAGATGACGTAACGCCCAAACTCCAGGTACGCACCTGGCTATCATCTGAGGGCTTGAAATTGGTCCCCCGTTGCTGAAGATAATAACCTTCCATGCATCCTTGGACCACTGGCAACATTAGAACTGTCTTAGGTTCTCCTTTTTCTAATTATAAAGTAATATGCTCCTTATAAAAGCTCAACCCATGTAAAAATGTAAAACTTATGAAACAGAAGTCTGCTTTCTTTCCATCCTACAGAGGTAATCAATGCCAATAGTTTAGTGTGGATTTTGGCAGTTTTTCGTCCTGCATCTACTAGCAAATATTCAAATACAGTTTTTTTTTTTTAAAGATTTATTTATTTATTTGAAAGGCAAAGTTACACAGAAGCGGGAGGGGGGGAGAGAGAGAGAGAGCGAGCGAGCGAGAGTGTGCACGCAATCTTCCATTTGCTGCTGGATCAGAAGTGGAGCAACCAGGACTCAAACCGACGCCCATATGGGATGCTGGCACTGCAGATGGCAGCTTTACCTGCTATACCACAGTGCTAGCCCCAAAATAGTTATTCTTAAGTGGATGCATTTCTAATGTCTATACCCTGCATTTTGTTGTTTACTTAGCAAATCGTCATGGATGGTTTATGTATCAGTACATTCAGGGCTGTCCTCATTTTAAGGGCTACACATTATTCCATTCCATGGTTGTACAATATTTAACAAGTTGTTGACAAATTAGAACTTTTAAAACTAAAAGGAGGGGCTAGCATTGTGGTGTAGTGTTCAAAGCCAGTGCTTTCAATGCCAGCATCCCATATGGGCACTAGTTCAAGTGGCTGTTCCACTTCTTACCCTTATTAATGAATCTGGGAAAGCAGTGGAGGATGGCCCAAGTACTAAGAGAGGCTGGCAGGGATAGCGGTGGAGCTGGTCAGCTATCCATGGTGAGGGTGGTCCCAACCGCTGGGTATCAGAGAACCTGAGTCTGGAGGGAATGAGTAGAATGACCTGGCTGCTTGCTGAATTTTTGAAATCAATTCTGAATTTTGAAAGGATTTATTTTTTCCATTAACATTAGTAGTGAACAGTTTACGAAAGGGGTCTGGGAAGTGGGGAGTGAACATACACTGAGAGGATATGTGTATAACCTGGGTACTTCTTCCCCTTATCTGTTTCCTCATTCGAAAACACCAAGGAGATTGCACTATGGGGTCTAAGATAATTACACTTCTGTGACTTTATATTTTATATAGTGTGCAGGTTAATTTTATACGTCAGCTTGGTTAGGCTACAGTGTCCAGTTGGTCATCTAGGCAAGTGCATCTCAGCATAGGCTGCTCAAGCATCACCCAAGAGTTTGTGAAAAGGAGGAATGCCTGGACACCACCCTAGGCCTGTTAACTTGGAATCTTTGTGGCAGACTTGGGTATCATTTCAGCGCGTCCCAAAGTGCCTCAGGTGATTCTCATGTATAGTCAGTGTGCAAACCCAGTGAGCCTGAGTACCTGCTACTCAAGGTGTCACCAATGGATGGGCAGTTCTGGCATCACCTAGGAGCTCACTGCAAACAAAAACTCCCTAGGACGGAATAAAGCATTTCTCAAAACTTAATGTGCATAGGAATTACCCGGAGCATCTTATTAAATTACAGAGGAGCAGGGCTTACAATTATCTAGTTCTCAACACACTTGAGTACTCTCAAAACTACCGATCCCTGACCCACACTTTAAGCTGCAGAGCCCAGGATAATTTCTGAACTTCCTAAAAAAGGCGGGTGGCAGGGGGGGGAGGGGAGAGATTCACAGCTTACAGAGGTACTGTTGAGTTGGAATTTTCCAATGGAAATGTATAGTAACATTTGGATCCCTGCCCTGCCTTCCAAAGTCTGAGATTTTATTTTTAAAGACTTATGTATTTTTTGAAAGGCAGAGTTATAGAGGGAAAGACAGAGACAGAGAAAGAGCGATCTTCCATCCTCTGGTTCATCCAAATGGCTGCAACTGCCAGGGCTGAAATCAGGAGCCTGGAACTCCATCTGAGTCTCCCATGTGAGTGCAGGGGCCCAAGGACTTGAATCATCTTCCACTGCTTTCTCAGGTACGTTACCAGGAGCTGGACTGGAAGTGAAGCAGCTAGGACTCAACCTGGCACTCTGATAGGGGATGCTGGTGTCACAGGAAGTGACTTAACCTGCTGCGTCACAGCCCTGGTCCCCCAAGGTCTGAGTTTTTAAATTTCCCCTCTTTGAAATCAAGAAATCCTTTCCAGCTTTGCTTCCATTTATTCTTTCCACGTCTTTTTCTCCCTCATTTTTTCTGAGAATGATTTTTCCCAATTGTTACCTTGCTAGAAGTCAGATCTCTCCATAGACAAAGGCATTTGGGACATGACATGAGTTCCATGGCTGAAGGACTCCTCTTTTTCTTTTTGGATGACAGTTGAATGTGAAAATTGAGTTTCAGGCATTATTGTTTTCCACAATAAACTTCCTAAATCATTAAAATATTTTTGAGTAAATGATTGTGTTTCTGGAGGGGTAACTCCTATTTCGGGGGTGGGGCTCAGAGGCCATTGAATAAATGTTTATCTGGGGATGGGAATCCTTCTGAACACTTACTTGGTTACTACAGCTTTTTTATTTTATTTTATTTATTTATTTGAGAGGTAGAGCTACAGACAGTGAGAGGGAGAGACAGAAAGGTCTTCCTTCCGTTGGTTCACTCTCCAGATGGCCGCAATGGCCAGAGCTGTGCCAATCCAAAGCCAGGAGCCAGGAGCTTCTTCTGGGTCTTCCACGTGGGTGCAAGAGCCCAAGCACATGAGCCATCTTCTACTACTTTTCTAGGCCATAGCAGAGAGCGGGATTGGAAGAGGAGCAGCTGGGACTCGAACCGGTGCCCATATGGGATGCCAGCACCTCAGGCGGCATTAACCTACTGCGCCACGGCGCCGGCCCCGGTTACTACAGCTTTAAAAGTTCCCATTTTCACCATTGTTGAGTGTGAGTGAGTGAGTATGTGTGTGTTTGTGCGTGTGTGTGTTGCTAGGGCACCAGCATTAGCGGGAAGCAGTAGTCAGCCCGGGTTTATTTTCTCCCACAGAACAGAAGACAAGGAATCCAGCAGTAAAAGACCCCATGTTCCCAACCTTGACAGATTCTTTGTTGTCAGTGAATTACAAAAGACTCAAAACAACATGGAAATTAAAAAAGGGAACATTGTGCTACAGATGCATTCTTCTCCTTGTCAAGTGGCCTTGAGGCCTTCGGAGGCTTTGCCTTCCCCGGGCTTAGACCTTGCTTTTCTGAAATAGCTTTTCTCTGTGCCTGAACCTGTCCTTGCTCCTCTTCACTGTTTCTATAGCAACCCAACAGACTCTTCAGAGCATCGACAACCCCGTGGTAGTCCACCATTATCACAACCAGCTCACGTTATCAGGAAGAGAACTGCTGAGGTGCTCTTTCCCTTCTTCCTTCTCAAAAACAAATCAAAAGCAAGTAGGCTTAAAACACAAGTGGTCACATCAGGTTAGATATCGGGAAGAACTTCCAGTGAAGGACTATGTCAGTAAGGGAGGTTCTGGGGTTGCCTTTTTAATGTTTACTTGTTTTTTAAAAAGATTTTATTTATTTGAGAGGTAGAGTTAGAGAAGAGGAAGGGAGAGACAGAGTAAGGTCTTCCAACTGCTGCTTCACGCCCCAGACGGTTGCAACAGCTGAAGCCGGGAGCCAGGAGCTACTGCTGGGTCTTCCATATGGGTGCAGGGGACCAAGCACTTGGGCCATCTTCCACTGCTTTCTCAGGCCATAGCAGAGCTGGATCAGAAGAGGAGCAGTCAGCATTCGAACTGGTGCCCATATGGGATGCCGGTACTGCAGGTAGAGGCTTAACCCACTACACTACAGTGCTGGCCCCTACTTATTTTCATCTACTTGAAAGGTAGAGTGCGAGAGAGAGAGAGAGAGAGAGAGATCTTCCCTCTGCTGGTTTACCCCTAAACGCCTGAAACACAGCCAGGGCTGGGCCAGGATAAAGCCAGGAACCTAGAACTCCGTTGGGATCTCTCATGTGGGTGGCAGGGGCCCAAGCACTTGATCTGTCATCTATTGCCTCCCATGATGCATTAGTAGGAAGCTGGATGAGGAGTGGGGTAGCTGGGACTGGAACTGGCACTCAGATACTGGATGTGGGTGTCCCAAGCAGGGCTTACCTGGTGCTACAATGCCCACTCTATGGACTTGCCTTCTTTTGGTCACTAATCTAATCTCTTTTGATTGGCACAGTAGAAATTCTGTCCGAAGATGTATGGCAATTAAGAAATGACTTCTCAATGTCTCTGAAGCAGAAAAACCAGGAGCAGTTTACTAATGCTTCTAGAACATACTGTGTTCTTCACTGTATTAGATGCTGTGAGGCATATAAAATAGCTGTACACAGGTTAAGTGAGTACCTGCAATGTTGGCATCCCGTATGGGTGCTGGTTTCAATCTTAACGGCTCCACTTCCAATTCAGCTCCCTGTAAATGCGCCTAGGAAGGCAGCAAAAGATGGCCCAAGTGCTTGGTC